GACAAGTGACAATGCAAAACAACAAGGCAAGGATCTAACACTTGGTGATTCTGAGGCATGAACTTTACACGCATTTATTCCTTACAAAAATAGCTTTTTTAAGTAAGAAAAACAGGACTATTCTAATATTAAATGAACAAAGGATACAAAATACAACTAATTAAATATTTATTGAGCAGCTGTTTTCAGCACCATACTAAAAGCAATACCAATGGTAAACAAATATGTGAAAAATGGTCACCTATATTAACCATAATCAAATGAATTCAAGTGAAAACAAAAGTGACTTTTCCATTTTTTACCCATCAAATGGCCTATGTGCAAAATAAATGTTTTCTCCAGGGTTAGATGAATGTGGTGTTTTGGGATCTCTTCTGTGAGTATATGCATATATTCATAATCATCCTGAAGGCACTTAAGCAATGTATATAATAAAGAGCTTAAAATGTATACATATATCTAAAAAGTCCAGCCAGGACAATGAAGTACTCCTAGCAAACTAAGTCTGGTTTCTAAATACCATTTGAGAAAGTACCAAAATGAAAGTACTTTCCTTTCCAAAGAGCACCTCATTTCTTCATTTCCGTGACCTCCAGAGTCCTCATTTCCAAAGAGGACTCCTTGGAAAATGGCTACTTCAAGGTGGGAGGTAAGAAATGAACAAGATGAGCCAGGAACATCTTGTTGTGGCAAACAGCAAACAAGTGATCGAAGACTGCTGGGGTCATATCAAAAGGACTGAGGAGCTGACTAGAAAAGGCTCCCACATACTAAACATGGAACAACTTTGAGCGTCAATGAGGATACAACTTAAATGTATTTAAACATACTAAAGGGAAATTTTTCTTCATGAAAGCTTCTAGCTAATAGAGGAATAATAGGATTTCATCATTTTGCAATCCCAGATGAAGATATATTAATCAAATATCAATGGCTGCTGTCATAAAAAGAAAGATCTAAATATTGTGTGTCAATATTAACCACCTATAAGCAGTCTTAGTAAAAAAAACAAAACAACACAAAAAATCTAAATCTGATCAAGCCTCTAGATACCAATTACCAATTTATAGGAAATACTAAGGATAGAAAGCATGTTTAACTACACCATGGGGATGCAGCCAGCAAAAACTAGGCTCTCAGAAATTCAGTAAGGCAATTAACCTAGTTTCTTCAAAAAATAAGTTGCCAGCAAAAACAAAAGGGATGAGGAAGAATTCAGATTGAGACTTAAGAGACATTAACAATCAACTGCAATTTGTAGATATAATTTGGATCCTGGTAACGTTTTCTCAATTGACATCTATGAAAAAGTTAGGAATTGGGACACTGGCTATCAGATATGTTGATAGCATTAAGCATTGTCCATTTTGTTAAAGCAGTTAAAATCTTTTCTAAAGTTGTGAAATATTTTAGAGATACATACTGAAATATTTAGATGAGATAACATATCTGGGATTTACTTCAAAAACAACATGGAGTGGGGAGTGGGTGGGATAGATAAAACAAGACTGGCCATGAGCTGATAATTACTGAAGCTGGTGACAGGGGCATAGCGGGTACATTATTAGATACTGTGTGAGCAGAAAGTTTTAAAAAAGTATATACATCTTGATCTTATATTTCCTCTAGGAATTTATGTTAAAGATATATCACACATATACAAAGGTATTTATATACAAAGATATTTATTACAGGATTGCCTGAAAGAGCAAAAAATAATTTTAAAAACCCAAATTAATAAAGTCAGATTATGAAATCATGACGGAATACTATTCAGCTGTCAAAAATAGTAAGACAGCTCTATGTGTGTGTATATACATACACATACATATATGTAGTTTGATCTTCAAGATGTATGGATAAGGAAAAATAGCAATATATGGAAATTTGCTACCACTTAAGTGAATTTTTTCAATAATGTTATGCATATTTCCATATTTAAGCAAACAGAAAAATAAGGAACAACATATAAGAACTTGATAGCAGTGATTGCTACCTAAAGGGTAATAGGATGGGAAGGGGCAGAGATGGTGCGGAGATTCACTTATGTCTGTATACCAAATATTAACTTAAGAATTTTTATCCTGTGTATGTGTTTTAGCTATTCAAAATGATAATTTTTAATATAAAGCTTTGAGCTCCCCAACTGTACATCCTAGTCATTAAATTATTTAAAGAAAAATGACATACAGAAGGCTTTCTAATCCTTTGTAGGCAGATGTGAAGAATTCAGGTGCTTTTACTCAACACTCAGGAAAAGACTAAGATGGATGGCATTGGGGCACAACAGACTCCCTGCCCCAGACACTGCCTGGCTATTCCACCGGCTGAAGGGATCCATTTCTTAAGATTCCTTAGATTCACTCATGAGCCCTGATCCAGATGTCACTGGGATTGGATCAAGTCTTTTTATCCTGTCATTGTTATCTCCTGGAGGTTACAATACCAAAATTCTGAAAACATAATCCAGAACAGGTGAAATTCCAGACATTTCATTTAAAATTTGCTTGATTTGAACAGATTGGATTAAATTAGCAGAAATTTTATTTATATTTATCTTCACATATGATAATCATCTATAATTTGTCTTTTTGGGAGCTGTCCTTGTTGAGTTTTTATCATAACTTTATTTAGCCTTAAAAATAAACTAACAAGCTTCTCTCTTGTGGATTATCTGTTCCTTGAAGTTTTACAGGTTAGACTGTTTTCTTTAAAGGGACAGTTCTTGGTGACATGTTTTTCTACATTGTTTTATTCAGGTATTCCACATCTTGAAGCAATTTTGGTAGTTTTGTAAAAATCCATTCTCACTGACTTCCAAATATATTAGAATAGTCATGCATGGTAACGAGTTTTTAAAAAATCCACTCCTTCCTCATTCATAATGCTAACTTTTTTTCTAGATCAGTTGTTATTTATCTACCTTACTATATTGTTAAATAAAAACTCGTTAGATTAAGTCTGCTGTTATTTTCTTTTTCATTAGTTTTAGTTTTAATAGTCATTTTTACTATTTGACTTGGGTTTATGTGCTGATTTCCCCCTAACTTTTAGAGTTGACTATTCATTCATTGAACATGTTTAGTATGTGACTGGGAATGACTAGGTGCTAGAGATTCACATTTGAAGAACAAAGCCCTTATCTTCAATCCTTGGGTTGACAGCAATACAGCTTTGGCTATATTAAACTGGCTTTCATATGCAGAATTCACTGTCATTCATTTCTAGTTTATAATTTTAGTTTTGATTTCTCTTGAAGTTATACTTGGAGGTGGTTTTAGATTTCTAAATGGGTGAATTTATTTTGGTTACTCTAAGGCCACTTGATAATTATACTTTACTCTTATTTTTCAGACTTGAATTATAACAAGTGGCAATGAAGGCTTTTTGACATTCATTACATTCATAAGGCCTTTCACTCACATGACCTCCTTAACAGTAATACTGTTATTAATGACAATAACTAATATTTACTGAGCATAGGCTTTATATAAAATATCTGGTAGTACTCAAGAAACCCGTTAGGTAAATATAATTATCACTGCATAAAAATAACTGAACTGAGGAACAGAGAGATTGCATAATTTGCCCAACGCTATACAGTCAGCAAGAACTGAGATAACGTTAAGCAAGGTGTATGCCATGGCAGAAGGCACATTCACAAAGTATTTTAATAGGGCCATTTCCTATGAGGAATTCTTAGAAGTTTAACACTTAATTTTGAGTGGCAATAGGTTGTTTTTCTATATCCAAATTGTTTTTTTGAGCATAAGTTCTCTGATGTTTAGTAAACAGTGAGTCTAAGACAAAAGGAATTCCCACATTTATTGAATTTTCTTCTGGTATGCATGATCTGATGTTCCACAACAGAAGTGACAAATGAAGGTTTTCTGACATTAATTACATTAAAAATTATCTAATCTTGAGTCAGGTGTGAACTTTACATAAAGCTTTCCTATACCCCTAATATTCAAGGCTTTCTAACCAGTATGGATTCTGTAGTGTTCAATCAGCTGTGAGCCAAGAATAAAGGCCTGCCCACATTCTCTACATTCATAAGGTTTGATACCAGGATGAATTCTCTGATGTTCAGTAAGTTGTGAACTACGAATAAAGGCCATTCCACATTCCCTACATTGATACGGTTTCTCACAAGTATGAATTTGCTGATGATGAGTCAGTTGTGAAACACGAATAAAGGCTTTCCCACATTCTTTACATTCGTAAGGTTTGTCACCTGTGTGAATTCTTTGATGTTCAGTAAGGTATGAACTACGACTAAAGGCCTTCCCACATTCCTTACATTCGTAAGGTCTGTCACCAGTATGAACTCTCTGATGTCGAGTAAGCTGTGTGTGCTGTCTGAAAGCCTTCCCACATTCCTTACATTCATAGGGTTTCTCCCCAGAATGAATTCTTTGATGTCGAGTAACTTCTGAGCTATGAATAAAACCCTTTCCACATTCCTTACATTCATAGGGTTTCTCACCAGTATGAATCCTCCGGTGTATAGTCAGTTGTGAATGCTGTCTAAAGGCTTTCCCACATTCTTTACACTGGTAGGGTCTAGCACCGGTATGAATTCTCCGATGAACAGTAAGTTGTGAGCCACGAATAAAAGCCTTCCCACAGTCTTTACATATATAGGGCTTCTCACCTGTATGAGTTCTTTGATGCAGAACAAGTGGTGAACGCTGTCTAAATGTCTTTCCGCATTCTTCACATTCATATGGTTTGACACCAGTATGGAGTCTCTGATGCAGAACTAGTTCTGAGGTACGACCAAAGGCCTTCCCACACTCCTTACAGTCATAAGGTTTCTCACCTGTATGAATTCTCTCATGTTGAACAAGGTGTGAGGCACGACTGAAAGCCTTCCCACATTCCTTACATTCAAAGGGTTTTTCACCAGTATGAGTTTTCCGATGTTGAATAAGATGTGAGCCACGGCTAAATGCTTTCCCACATTCATTACATTCAACCAGTTTCTCGCCATTCCTGTTGTTCTGGTGTAGAGTGAGGGATGTATGACGCTCAAAAGTGGGGATGTTTTCATACATGTTTTTCACTTGCTTGAAAAAGCACTCCTGAGTAACGTGTCTTTCAAACTGGCCTTTGTATTCCCAGTCATCTCTAAAACTGGAGCCCTCCAAATCACAGCATTTAAGGCTTTCCATTATCTCCCACCTGAATGACTCTACATCAAATATATCCTTTTGTGGAAATTTCTCACAGCTGGACTCCAAGTCTGGAAAATTAAAAAAAAACATTTAAAGAAAGAAAATTCAAGCAGTTTTCTTTTTTAAGAGAAGAACTTCTATAGTGGACCAAGAGTCAAAATAAAAATAACTTAAAAAATGAATGGCCTTACTACACAGATGGACAGTGACTGCAATGGGGTATGGGCAGGGGGAATTGATAATATGGGTGAATTTAGTAACCACATTGTTTTTCATGTGAAACCTTCATAAGAGTGTATATCAATAATTGCTTAATAAAAAAATGTGAATGGCTTATATAAGTCTCAAATATTTCTGTGCAATTTCTAAAAAGCACATGAATGCACAAATATGATGAGAGCTCACATGGTGACAGAAGGGAGCAAGAAAAAATTAAGCCAGGTTTCTCAATTTTAGTATAGATAGAATCATCCAGGAAGCCTGTTAATACAAATGTCTAAGAACAACCCCAGACGGAATCAAAATCTATAGTAGGGCCAAGGTATGTGTGTGCGTATGCCTAGGTGCACATACACATCTGTATCCATATATTAGAAATAATATGTATGTATTTTAATTGAGGTAAAACTTCACAAAATATAAAATCCCCCACTTAACCATTTTAAAGTGTACAATTCAGCAGTCTGCAGTATATTCCCAATGTCACACAACCATTTGCAGCATCCAGTTCCAGAACATTCTCATCATCCCAAACAGAAACCTTGTGTCCAATAAGCAGTCACTCTCCATTCCTTCCAGGCCCTGGCAATCACAAATGGCAGAGAAACCACTAATTCTCTCTTTGGATTTGACAGTTCTGTGCATTTCATATCAATAAAGCATCTATGTTTTTAACACTTTCCACCACGTGATGCTGATGCCAATCAAAATGAAATGTCTGCTTAAAATTTTTCACAGCCTTCTCACTGCACTTAGAATAAATTCCAAACTCATTGCCATTATTCACAGACTTCACAGACTCCTAGCAACGAGGGGTCCCGCCTGTCTTTGTTGACTCAACCAAGGACAATGCATCTGGATATTGAACACTCTCCCCTTTTCTCCCTAGGCACCAAAGCATAGGCTTCCTTTGGGCAGCTAGAATAAACATAGGTCTTTCCATCTTAGACCTCTCATCAGGTTCTTCCATCTATCAGGAATTCTGTCCTGAGCTCTTTGTATGGCTGCTTTATCCTTCAGGTGTCGGCTTAAAACTCACACTTTCAAAAAAGTTCTCTGCTTGATAATCCTAAGCATACAACCTTGATTGATTTTCTCTCCCACATTTTGTGCCCTATCTTCGTAACACTTTTATCAGTTGTAATTGATTTTCATTTACTTATTCATCTCTTGATCTTTTGTTTTCTTACTTCTAGATTTCCCCAAAGGCAGAAATATAGCCTTTCTCACTAGCCATGTAACCAAATCCTAGCATATATAGCAAGCTTTTAATAATGGATTGTTTGATGAATAAATATCAGATTCTAGAGACAGACCAATGGAACTCAATAGAAAGGACAGAAATAGATTAAAGTTTATATGGAAACTGAGTTTATTATTAAGCTGGTGTCTCAATGGGAAAAAGGATAGTTTTTGTAGTAAATAATATTGGGGCAACTGAACAGCCGTTTGGAAAAGGATAATAGTGGACTCCAAAGTAGAAAATAATACATTTGCAGTGTTTTCAGCCACTATGGCTGTGGTAATTTGTTACAGAAGCCATAGAAAACTAATACACACAGAAAGAAAAACCTGAGTAATTCATCAATGTATTACATGTGTTCAATATTAACCTTGGAGTCCACCTTCCAAGAAAATGTAGGTTAGAGCCAAAGTACAAAGAAAAGCCAGAAAGTTGGGTCTTTGTTTTTGAGCTTTGAAGTGTAGATGTCTTGGTGATTAAGACTGGTTTAGGTGCATGGCAAGAATAATTTTCATTATATATATATATATATTTCTCCTCAAACATGGATTTGCAACTCTATCTTTAAATCGGGCTGGCAAACTTTTCTTTAAATGGCCAGATGGTAGATATTTTAGTCTTTGTGGTCCAAGAGGCAAAATGAGGATATTATGTAGGCACTTACATAACTAAGAGAGAAATAAATAACCACAAAGTGTTTATTGAGGAAATTCAAAAGTATAATGCCAACTGAGTATAACTTTTTTTTAAATATAGGATTATGGATGAGAAGAACATAATTCATTTCTGGGTGAGATGACATTTTACTTAACTGGAGCTCAAAGTTAGGGTTCTCCAGCAGCACAACTGAGGGCGACTGATCACCTGTCAGTGCCGATCTGTAAGGATATTCTATGTGTTAATTTCATCTTTGAAAATGTTTCATATAGACAGTACTGCCAAATACCGGTACATTCCATGAGCATGGGACTTTAACCTGCATACCTTAAGAGGCATTTACAGAATTTAACAGGCTCACAGGCCATATAAAAACAGGCAGCTGGCTGGACTTGGCCCACAGGCTGTCATGTGCAGATGACAGATTTATATTATTAATGTTAGTGAAGAATGATGCATACTATAAATGAATGAAATATGAGAACAAAGATAGTATGGAACAAATTCCAGATTGTTAAAACAAAATCAGAGTGGGGTGATGGTGGGGGTGAATCTAGGCAAAGGTCTATAAACTTTTTCTATGAAAGACCAGATAGTAAATACTTTAGGCTTTGTGACCCATAAGGTCTCCTCTGTAGCACATATATATTTTTAAATCTTTTCAACATGTAAAAACCATTCTTAGATTATGGGTGGTAAAAAAAACTGGCCATCGGCTGGATTTGACCAACAGATTGCAGTTTGCCAACCCCTAGTCTAGGGCATAGGGAAGTAAAAGGTGGTAAAGGTCTTACTTTTCTCAGAAAAAGAGATTTAAAGGTATTATTTCATACTATTCTCCAATAAAAGAAACTAGGGCCCCTTTGAGGAATGGCTGATTTCAGGGCTGGGACAGGAAAAATACAAGGTGCACTTGTAACATGTTGTACCAGAAAATAAGGAATACTCACAAAAGAATAGGGCACGCTGAAGAGACCCCAGGAGCAACCTGAAGGAGTTCCCAGTGGGCAGAGCTTGAGCAATGAAATAAACAATGACAGTATTGGGCTACAACCCATAGAATACAATAAATACCCATGAGGCTGTACTAATAGAAACAGATCACTGAACAAATAAATGAATGTTGGAGGGGGTAGAGACAGCTTTTCCCTACAGAAGAATTCCAATTAATAATATAAAAGGAATAAGGGACATAGAAAATCAACACTAGGCGATTCTACTGTAATAACTGTTACAGACAAGGTTCACCAATGGCTGCTAAAATCAGTAGGCAACATGTATAGTCTCAAAGTATCTCTCCCCAAGATAATTACCAATTATAGTTGGAAAAATAGTAACTTCACAGGGAAAAACATGAGGGACACTACCTTAACCAGGTGATCAAGGTTAACACCACCAGTAACAAGCCATATTACCATCGAGTAACCAGAGATGGTGCACAGAGAACACTGCTTCTGTGGTATTACTGCCAGAGATGCATAATCTCAACCTAATCATGAGAAAATACCAGACAAATACAAGGTGACAGATCATTGTCCAAAAGAATACTCATCAAAAGTATCAAGGTCATGAAAGACTGAGGAACTGTCAGATTAGAGGGTGCTTGGGAGATACGGTAACTAAATGCAACATGGGATCCAAAATTGGATCCTGGAACAGGAGAAGGACATTAGAGGAAAACCTGACAAAATTCTAACATGATCTGTAGATTAGTTAATAGTATTGTATCAATAATAATTTCATGTTTTTGATAATTGTACTATGGTTATGTAAAACATTAACATAAGTGGAAGCTGAGTGAAGGGTAATATGGGAACTCTAATAATTTTGCAAGTTTTCTATAATCCTAAAATCATTTCAAAATAAAAGTTAAAAGAAACTTCATTAATGGGAAAAATGCTATTTAAAGTCTTGAGGTGGGGAGAGAAACATAGGTTTAAGCAAATTTTTGAAAGTCAAATTAAAGACTATTCTACTATAAAGCAATAGAAAACACAACTTCAAAATCACTTGAGGGTAGAAAAGAGTGGTAATAAAATCTAAGTAAAAGAGGAATAGTTGGAAATAAGGAGAATGCGAAACATGAAATATAAAATAAAATGGCAGGAATAAGAATAGACACATAATTATCACAATAAAAGAGAATAGACTGAATTTCATTATTAAAGTCAAGGAATCTTATTTTGATTCAAAAAGGAAAATATCTTGGAATCCTGATTACAATGGACACACTTAAAACAGCAATAATTTTAAAAAAAAGGTTAAGCAAAGCTATGTCATCATTTCTTAAGCCAACAAAAAGAGGGCATTTGGTATTAACATCAGAAAAAACAATTCAAGGCTAAAAGCACAAAGTGGGAAAATAAAGGATGGACTGTACTGATAAAAGTACAGTTTCCAATGAGGCTCTGTATTTCATCTTTACAAAAATATAAAATGTAGTAGCAACATATATAATACAGGAAGGAGTTCCAGAATTTGGCAGCACCTAGTACAAAGGAAGTCAAAAGCATATGCAGATTTCTAAATAATATAATCAAAAGGATTATAGTTAAACAAAGAGGTGAGTGCCCTATCCAAAGAACACTAGTTTCAAATGTATCTGGGACACTTTCTAAACAACTTGACTTATTAACACTGGAAGAGAAAATTAACAGTGGAATGATTTCTTCTTTGGGCTGAGAAAATTCCTGCCAACACAGAATTCCATACTCAGGGAAAAATATCCTACAGGAAAGAAGGTAGAATAAATAAGAATGAGTAAGAAATACCCTCAGTTTTCATGTGGTCAAAAACAGAGCATTTGTCAGGAGCAAACCTGCACAAAAGGAAATTTTAAGGGTGTTCTTCAGAGAGAGAAAAAATGATCCCTGGTGAAAATAAATAATGACAACAAGAACAGAGAATCAGGAGATGGGTGGCTGATAATTAAGTATTTAAAAGTTCCAATCTTGTCCAGCAAGTGCCAATTAAAAATACTTGGTGACATTTATTTAGTAGTTACTACTGCTGGCATTGTTCTGGGCATTTTCACATTATTAACTCATGTAACAACCACAATAACTATATGATTAAGGTACTAGTTTCATCTCATTTGCAGAGGAGAAAGCTGAAGCACAGAGAATTTAAGTAATTCACCTAAACTCAGATCTAGCGAGCAGAAGAGCCAAGATTCGAACTCAGTCTGTTTGTGAAGTCTGTACCCTTAGCCATTACACAAGTTTACCTCTCAAAAGTTAAGAGAATAAATGAATTGCTAAGGTAGGTAACGTGAGAAGCTATTTTAAGAAAATAAGTATTTTTCTAAAGGGTAAAGTACTTCCAGGAAAAAGGATCCAAAATACAGGTAAAACGGTGGCTTCTGGGGAATGAGGGAGCACATCCCTTTTTGAAGTGGGAGAAAAATGTGAAAGAAGAAAAAACAGAGAGGAATTCATTGGGGGAAGGGCAGGCTCCCTTGGGAGTTGATGCTGACAAGGTTTTTGCTCTTCATGTCTCAGGCCATTATTCTGCAGTTTTCACTTTGGCTTTGAGAGACGCCTCTCAGCGATAACTCATGTTACTGTATCTGCTGACTTACGCTGGGCTATTATTCCCAACAACCTCAGCCACTGATCAGCCCTGGCTCACCTGGGCACCAGGGTCCTGTCATATTTGCAATCATCCAGGGTTCTCTCCCTTGCTCCAATAAGGAAATGACATCAGGCTTAGAAATGCAAAGTCCTGTTTATAGGAAAAGAAATGGGATATGATTATACTGTCTCAAAATTCAAACCCAGTCCCTTGGTCACCAAGGAAGAGAGGCAATTACATGAAGGAAGGTGTTAAGGTTGTCCAGGGGTTTGGAAGACGGAGGTGCCAATGGAACTACCCATTTTCACATTCAGAAAGCACCAACAATTCCCTTGGGAACAGAGAACAGAAATTTAGCCAGAAACTACATCTCCCTGGAAATTCACCAAGAAGATATCAGAAATTCCAGAACACTAGCCCTGACGTACTTAGGGTGGATAACTATGGTGGTTATTCTCCATTTAACCTCTCCCCAATCCATTCCTTGCTGTTCCTGACCCGGCTGTGTCCCAAACAGCTTACCTCTAAGGACAGTATTACCCTGGCCCTGTGTTTCTCATTTGGTTTGGCAGATGGAAAGCATCAACAGGAGGCCAGTGGGCAGGATGAGAGAGAGAGCCCAGGTATTTCTTATCCCGGTTGTCCCTCCTTTCACCCAGGAGCTCTGGAGGTGGCTACAGTTGCTACTGACCAGGCTCGTCTCCATGACTCCAGCTCTCCTCATCACCCAGTGGCAGTTTTTCCTCCTTTACTCCTCCAGGCCAGAGGGGGCAGCCTCTCACTGCTGGAGTCCCTGGGAGCCCTGTTTCCTGTCTGGCCCTGTATTATACCATATCCTTACCTAGTGAGACCAAGTTACTGAAGTTCTCCAAAGTCACATCCCTGTACAGGTCTCTCTGGGCAGGTTCCAGGCTCTTCCATTCCTCCCGAGAGAACTCTATGACCACATCCCCAAATGTCACCAATCCCTGAAATAATAAATCCATGTATTACTAGCAAATGAAAGGACTTTTGCGTATTTTGAAAATTTTTGTAACAAATGAAAAAAAAAGTATACAGAGTAGTATAATGACCCTCATGAATCCATCACTATGTTTCAACAACTAACAAGAATTTTCAAATCTTGCTTCATCATTTCCTTCTGTCTTTTGACCTCTGGTGTGTTTTGAGGCAAATCCTACATCCAAACAGCATAGTATTTTACCTACTAAGACTTTAGTATCTAACAGATTAGATTTTTTAAAAAAATAAAAAGTACAATAACTAGAATATCACTATCATACTTAATTAACAGTAATTTCCTAATAACCAGATCAAGTTTCAAATTGCCCCAATTTTCTTGAGAGCTTTTATATACTTGGTTTATTCAAATCAGAATTCAAACTAGATCCATACATTACATTTAAATGGTTGACTTCCTAAAGCCTCTCAAATTTCTAACAGTCCCTACAAACCCTTAAAAACTTTTTACTGCTATTAATTTATTAAGAAACATTTGAATCAGCAGAATTTCCCACATTCTATATTTGGCCAATTGCATCTTCATTTTGTAGTTTTAACATGTTTCCATACTTCCATATTTTCTGTAAAACATTTCTCCAAGTCCTATATTTTAAGACAAAGATCTGAGGCCTGATTCACCTATTTTTGGAGAGCCATGGATATGTCAGAGATGGTACTGTGTACTTCCTATAGCATCCTCCTAGGAGGTATATGACTGGTTGTCCCATTTTTAATAAGGTTACAACTGATGAGTAAGTGCAGGTTTTAACAACCTGACTAATCCAGGAAAATGTATGTGAAGTGGAAAGAGAGGAGACAGAGAAGGGTGCTGTAGGAAGGAGGTGATGAAACAAGCAAGCCCAACTAGGGCTGAGGCTATGTCATGAAGGAAGTACATTAGCTGTTTTATCTGAGTAAAGGCCTACATGCTCTTAGATACTCCTGTGGCTACAGATAAAACCTTTCATACAGCAGGACTCTTACTTTCCACAGGGGTCTGGGAATAAGCAAAATCTAGCTAAGTGGGGTCTAATAAATAAACAAAACAGCATTATGTGAAACACACAGCAAACATGGGCCTTGCAAATCATAAAGAATTTATTTTTAAGCTTTAAATTTTTTTATACTTTAAAAAGGGATTTTTAAATTACTTTTACCATTTCTCCTTTGAGATAATAAAAAAAGATAGAATCCAAAATGTCTCATAAATTTTTATCTTAAAACATAGGACTTACTGAAATTTAAAAACTATCCTGAAGACAAAGGGTCATAATTAGGCTGTGGATCTCAACCCAGATTATACCTTCACCTTCAGGACCTATTGAGGATCATGCAGGGATAGTCCAGTTGTCACAGTGTTGGGGGAGGTTGGGCTGGGAGGGCAGTGTGCTACTGGCATTTAGTGCCTGGCATCAGGAATGCTAAGGGTCCTAAATTATCTGGGCCACATACCCAAAAGTGTCCCATACAACAAAGAATTGTACTGTTGAAATCAACAGTATCTTCACTGAGAAGAGTCATTAGACATTACAAGCATTTTTTTTATGGAAAATTTTATTATAAACACAAGGATTTTTATTTGTTACATAATTATACACCTTATATCTTGTAAGATATAATCATTCTATTATTTGAGGGCATTTAGTTTAAACAAGATCTATAACATCTTCAATGTTTATTATATTTGTTAATAATCTATCCTCCTTCACTGTTCACTTTTCCTTGTTGCTGAAATAAGAAAGCTAATGGAGGGTGTACCTCAGTCACACAGCTGTGGCCCACAACCAACACATACCATTAATCTCAAAATGGACTATTTTATGGTTATTCATCTGTCATAAATTCTCCTGCAAGACTGAATAACTTTCTGTAACTCAAGTCCCCAATCACATCCCTCATTCTGAGGGTCTCACAAAACAGGAGATGTCACCACATACTGAGACCAAGACTAACCTCTCCAGCTCTGACCATGTCTATATGAAAGAGGTACGGCTGGCAGCTTCTACTGCAAACACCTAGGCACTGGATAAATTGTAACAAACACCCTATTAAATGCATTTCTAAGCTCTGGAGAAGGTAAGGAAAATTAAATCCCAGAGCTAACAAAAGAAGCAACACATGAACACACATACCCAGGTTGAACCAAGAGAGGTAAATGACTATGTCAGCAAGGCTACAGTGCAGTCAGACATTTTGGGGATCAGCCTTAGCACGGGGCCTGGGACACATAGCAACTGGGGTGTGAACAACCCATGGCCCGCACGTAAAACTTGGATCCTAGGGGAGTGAAATGCTGGGCTCCAGTGAAAACCTTGCTGGCAGAGTATCAAGGAACTTGCTGCACTCCATATAGAAAGAAAAGGATTATCACTTATAATAATATAACTATCACTTATAACCTATTACTCCTACTAATATAATTTCCTTTGCCAATCTATAACAAAAGTCCTTTTTTCCAGTGAGTCAGGAATTCAAAGTAACATCATTCATGTAGTTGGGGGAAACCCAAATGAAAAATTAAAATGTTCTGAGTTTGAGAACACTTTTAGGTGCAAAACCACTCTGAAGGATGGCATCCTCTCTACCCAGTTCCCTAAGGTCTATCACATACTAAGTCAACAAAGACAATTTAATGGGGAAAGATTAGTCTTCTTAACAAACAGTGCTGAGACAAATGGATATATGAATGCAAAGAATGAAGTTGAACACTACCTCACACCATATATAAAAATTGACTCAAAATAGACTGTTGACCTAAATGTATAGCTAAAACTGTAAAACTCTTAGAAGAAAGCATAGAAGTATATCTTCATGACCTTGGTCCGGCAATGGTTTCTTAGATATGACACCAAACACAGTGACAAAGGAACAAAAGATAAAATTAACTTCCTAAGTAAAAGCTATTGTACTATAAATAATTGCACCAAGAAAGTGAAAATACAACCCACAAAACTGGGAGAAAATATTTTCAAATCTTTTATCTAGAATGTAAAAAGAGCTCTCACAACTCAAAAATAAAAAGATAATACAATTAAAAGCTAGGCAAAGAATTAATAGAGATGTCTCTAAATACACAAATGGCCAATAAGCATATAAAAAGATGTTCAACATCACTAACCATTAAGGAAATGCAAATCAAAAGTACAATAAGATGGCACTTCATATCTATTATGATGGCTATTATCAAAAAACAAACAACAAGTATTGATGAGGATGTGGACAAATCAGAAACCTTATATTGCTGGAGGAACATAAAATGGGGCAGGCACTTTGGAAAACAGTTTTGACTGTTTCTCAAAATGTTAAACAGAGTTATCAGGTTAACGAGCAATTCCACTCCTAGATACAGAGAAATGAAAATGCATGTCCACCTCAAAACACCCCAAGGTTCATAGCAACATTCTTCATGACAGCCACAAAGCAGAAACAACCAAAATGTCCACAGAATGATGAGTCTCAACAAAATGTGATTTATACATATTTCCATGGAATATTATTTGGTACAAAAACAAATGAAGTACTGATACATGCTACAACATAGATAAACTTGAAAACATTACACTAAGTGAAAAAAAATACAGAAATAAAAGATAAAATATTATAAGCTTCCATTTATATGAGATGTACAGAATAGGCAAATCCATAGAGACAGAAAGTAAATTAGTGGCTGCAAGTGGACGAGGAGGGAGCGACTGGGAATGACTGATGTAGACAGGATTTCTTTTTTGGGTAATGAAAATGTTCTAAAATGGACCATGCTGATGGTTGTACAACTCTGAAAGTATACTAAAAACCACTGATCTGTACACTTACATGGGTGAATTTCCTTGTACATGAATTATATATTCAATAAATAAAACTGTTAAAAATGTTTTACAGAAACTTTTGTTAATGCTGGTTAAATGTATCAATATTTACCAAATTAAAAGTGAGAAATTTAAAAAATACTAACTTATGAAAATGACCAATAATAAACCTGCAACATGTAAACAACATATATTTTATGAAAAATAACTCTATTGTCAAAAATTAATAGCCTTGTTTTATAGTTTTGTAAATCTCTTTAATGACTGGCTGAATAAAAGTTGGATTTTTACATCTGCTTCTGCATTCAGTGTGTTGGGGTAACACATACCACACAGCTTCTGGGAAACTCCATAATACACTCATTGAAGAATGTGAATGAAAAAGGCAAATAACATGGTTCTCAAAATAATACATTATTATAAAAATAATTTTGACCCTCCCCAACCCCTGAAAGGGCCTCAAGTTTTCCTGGGTCATACTTTGAGAACTGCTGATCTAGTGTTACACAATTTAATATGAATGATTTGAAAACATGTTGTATTGAGTGAAAAATGTCTGATAAAAATATAACTTCATGTCAAATTTGAAAACAAAACTCAATAGTATGTTGCTCAGAATGCATTCATATATGGTAAAACTATTATAAAAATCAAAGGACTGCTAAATACAAAATTAAAAGTAGTCAATACTATTGGTGGGAATGTTAATGTGATATGGGAAGGGGTATCACCTGGGAAGGGAATGTAGGATGCTTAGATGGAATATTAATCTGGGTGATGAATACATTGATATTATTTATTCTTCATACCACATATGTTATAGATATGTTTTTGTATATATTCTTTGATAATATGACATGTTTTATGAATTTTTAAGGCTGGTGTGACATTTAAAAATACAAGAAAGGAAACCACCTAGGTTAGTGGAAAAGATTAAAGTTATCTCTTCTTTGGCCCCACTCAACCATGATTCTGATAAGGAAGGCTCTCAGATTATATTAAGAGAATATGTTTTTGATCCACTGGCACTCTGATACGGGCATTGTGCACATATATCTATACTGTTGGAGAAGAGAGAGCCACTAAGTGAAGTGGAGCACCACCATTCACTCCCTGGAATGAAGAAACTGAAGGGATCAGCAAGACAGGGAAGTCTCAGGATAAAGAACACAAATGCTCATACAATGTGGAAGAGATTATTTCAAGGATGGAGGAAATTTCAACTTACCTGCGCCATGGCTTTTAGAACTCCCTAGCAGCTCTGATTTCTTTAGATGGTTCTCTTGGACAAGGGCAGTGTCCTGAAAAAGCTGAGTAGGGGTAGAAAGGGGAAATCTCTCATAAACCAAGCTCACCTCCGCGCCCCTTAATAGACAAGCTTAAAACAATTGTACTTCCAGTGTCCCTGTTCTCCTTCCCTTGCCCTCCCCTTGTCCCTCAACACAACACTAATATCAAGAACTAGAGAGTTAACAAAAGTCAGACCCTCCCTACACTCTAGGGGAACCAAAAGATGGATTCAGAGGAAGTGTACTCCAGCACGGACACAGAATCCATGCACCTCAGCAGGAGGAATTCTAGCCTTGAGAGCCTCCCATTTTGCTGATGCTGACCCTATACCCTAGCTGGCTCCCACCTACTCCAAATAATTTTCCCCTGCAGCTGCAGCAGGGAGGATCACAATTCACTCACTTTACTCTCTGTAAAGATGAGGACAGCACCTGCAGGCTAGGAGTACAGCATTATCTGTCCTGAAAAAACACAGCCCTAAAAACACTCTTAGCTTCTCTGGGCTCACCAGGAAAACCACCTGGGGCACCTCCCTGGCTCTATTTCCTTCTTCATATCTTTGCTGATGTTAAGATGTTAAACAGAGTTGGGTGAAAAAGGTAGGTGATAGAACAGTATGTAACCCTATTTTTATAGGAAGAATATACATGTACACACATGCATGTGTGCAGGCACAGATGAACTGAAAGGATTAATTAAATTTTTATATAACATTTTTCTCTAGATGTATAATTACAGGGGAATCTTCGGTTTTTCTGTATTTTCAAGTTTTCCCTTAAGGCTATGTTTTATAATCACAAATAATCCCTTCCTCCTCATTGTGGAGGGTGGATTATTAAAGGAAATATGAATGGAGTGACTTATGAGTGACAGTGGGGTGACTTGTATGCTGAAGGAGCTTGATTTTCTCCATAGTTTTAGAGCCTTTGCGGATATATTCTCAAACACTTTTCACGAGGAGTTAAGGTTTCATATCAAAGTCTTCCTGTTTCCTTAGTCCCCTCACTCAGCTGTACAGAGACCTCTCTCAACCCTCTTTTCACAGTCCAGGATGTCCTTCTTGCTCCAAAAACAAATCATAGCTAATTTACAGAAGTAACTCTTACACCTAGAAAAAGAAATGAACTTTAGCCAGTGTCATTAGGTTAGTAATTAGTTTAATTACTAATGTTTCACCATTACCCAGTTTTCTTCTCCTTTTGGGCACATAGAACATAACATTTTCCAGCCCTTTGCAGTTAGGTAGGGCCATAAACTGGTTTTAGCCAACAGAACATGAGCTGAGGTGATGTGTGTGACTTCAGTCTGAGGCACTGGGAAGATGGCACAGTGCTCCAATCTTTCTATTCCGATTTGGTGGCCAAGGAGGCTGTGCATTTCAGATGCTGCAGCTATAGGATGGTGGAGTTTCCTTCAGTCTGGGATCCTACCTATGCTGATGCCTACTGGATACATAACATATTAGGAACAAGAAATGAAGTTATTTTGGAAGTCACTGAGATTTGGGGGGTGTTTTGTACCAGTATAACAGCCTGTTCTAAGTTAAACACTAATTCAGTTATACTCTGACTACATTAAAAAAAATTTTTTTATTTTATATTTTATATGACTCAGGCCCTTGCTCAATGTGAGAAAGAACAATTAACAACAAAAAAAGAGGAAACTTTCAAAAATAACAGAGCAGAACTGTCCATTTCCAACTTTGTATAACTCAAAGGGAAATTTTCAAACCCACAGTGTGAAACCAAAGACGCTGAAAAGGCAGATTATGAGTAATGGGGCAAGTTGATCTTGACCTAGCAAAACCATGTTCCTCTAGATCTCTAACATCAAATCTTTGTATAAATCCTTCTGAGCAAAGTTCAGTCATCCACACACCATCTGGTAAAGCTTGAAGCTACGTCCCTGGATTTCCCTACTTCTAAATTGACAAGATATTCTTATTCTTTAAAGGCCATGGGTCTCACCTCACACATCAACTGGGAGAAGCTGCCATGGCATGAGAAATACATCTGTATAGGTTATAAAAGTGATGGGCAATTTGTGGTCCTACTTGTAAAATATACACATATATCAATAAAGACGATATAGATAAATTAGATGGAAAATGTCTAGGACGTTTTATCCTTAAAGGCTACTTTGGTTATCTCTGGGTTATGATCTTCAATTTTCTTAGTTTTACTTAAGTATAGTTTTTTCAATAACCATACATTGATTTTTAAATATATATTTTTAAGTTCTGTTAAATGTAAGCTACTCCCAAATAGTAGATGAAAAAGAAAATACCTTTTATTTTTAAACAATCTTCTGTTGAACATGAAATAATAGCTTAGGATAAGAAACAGTTGTATTTTCACTGAATGGCTTTTGTTGTTTCTGCTTTGTCAGCTCCCAATAGTCGCAAACTTCTTGATTTGGTAACTATATTCATGTGTGCTGGAGGTTTGCCTGGAAAAGAACTAAAAGTCACTTGGGCCACATCCTGCCACCAAATGAAATGGTGTACTTTTGTTTCTACCTGTACATATAACAGTAACAATATTATACACACCAGTAATAGTAGTATAAATTCAGATACTTGTACCCGATTCCAATGTGTGTAAGTATGTGTGTGTGGGGATCTTCCTACACATATTACACCAAGCAATTCTCAAACACCAGCAGAATGTTGGAGAACTCAACTCAATTCTGATGCCATCTGCCTGGAGACAGCACTTGATTCCCCAGGTTAAGGGCTCCATCCTACAAGACTGCCCTCCACCCTGCACTCCAGATGCCTGTCGCAAGCCCCAGGCAGTTCCCTGTGCTTCTGACCTACCGGCTACAGATTGGAGGTTGCTGTGACCTCCCCCTTAGGTTGGATTAATATGCTACTGTGGCTCACAGAACTCAGGAAAACGCTTACATTTACCAGTGTAATAAGGATACCATAAAGGATACAAGTTAACAACCTGATGAAGAGAGACATAGGGCAAGGTTCCAAATAATGGAGCTTCTATCCTTACGGAGCTTGGGGCCTGGCTCAGAGGCATGTGGAGGCGCTCTGGTTCCCCAAGCTTGAGGGTCTCTCCGACCAAGAAGCAGGATCCAACCAAGCAGAGCAGGCAAAGCAGAGCAGAGAGAGCGAGCTCTTCTCACGGGTTTTTATAAGGGCTTCACTGCATAGTCATGACTGATTAAATTACTGGCCATCGGCTGATTCAGTCTCCAGTCCTGCCCTTGCATGGGGGCGTCCAAAAGTCTAACATAACAAAACACCCGTAAGACTCTTCAGTGTTCTCAGGAACTGTGGATGAAGACCAACAATATCTGGGAAATACATATTTGGTCATTCATATGATATGACATGACAATGACTGCTCTGGTCATGCAATATCTCCTTCTTATGAATTCTCACAGCGTATTACCAGGATAAACTAGTGCTTTTTATCACCCTTTATGTTGGAAATTTGTATACTAGTTTTATCTCCCTGATTACATTATTTGTAACAAAAATAGAGACTATAACTTTTTAAAAGCATTTTGTCTCACCTAGTTCTAGATTAGGAATTTGCATATTTACAAATTCTTAATAAATATTTAATATCTCAGAGGAATTCATTATAAAAATACATGCAGTATACTCAAGAATACTTTTAGGACTATTTTACAACTAAAATTATAGAAATATAAATATCCTTTAGTAGGCAATAAAATTAATAAATTAAGGTACACTTCAGTAATAAAATACTATACAGTGATTTTACAAATATAGTATTACCATAACCAATGCATAATTAAATGAGGCAGGCAGGTTATAGAACTTATACAAAAGTGATAACACTATAGAGAATAAAGCAAGATAGGATTAAAGATGGTGGCATGAGAGGAGAGACAGAGGCTTCCTCCTAAAACTGGATACAATTAGAAAATATAGTTGGTGCATCTAATCCTGAGAGAGCAACAGGAAAGAGGACAGCACCAGACTGCATACACCTGGAGAAAAGGGCAGACCTAACGGAACAGGATAACATACCAAAGCTGTGGCTGGGTGGGACCCAAGCCCTTCCCCTACCCCAGCTCATCAGTGGGAGGAAGAGAAACGGAGTGGGGAGGGAGTGGAAGGCCTGGGACTGCTGAGTACCTAGCTCCGGAGATCTGCTCTGGAAGCATAAACCTACATTTCATGGTGCTTGCATGGTACTCTCGTGATCACCGGGTTGGAAAGTTAATACAGGCAGAATTCCTGAGGAGACTGAGATTCCAGCCACTTGTGGAAAGCAGGAATCCATATCCGGCTGCTCTGGGACAAAAGCTTATACCTGTGTGCTTGGCCCACTGGTTAAGGTAGTGGAGACAGGCACAGCAGCCGAAAAGCGTGGAACAGCTCTTTCCTCCCCCCAGGCACCAACACTGCTCCCCTGCAACCCCTGACATTGCTTCAGGGGCTGAGTAGCTCCAGAGTAGAGCTTCTGGACACTAGAGGGCACCATATACAAATATGAAACGCCAAAGGAACCTGGTCCAGAGAAAAATTAATATAATTCCGGAGATAGATTTAAATGACATGGTCCTTATGACTCTTCCTGAAAGGGAGTTCAAAATAAAAATCAACATGCTAATGGAGGTATGGAAAGATATCCAAGAACTCATGAATGAATTCAGGTCAGAGATCCAATCACTGAAGAGCATGATGGGAGGGTATTAAAAGCAGGTTGGATACAGTGGAGATGATACATGAAATAGAAACTAGAAAAGAGGAATACAAAGAAGCTGAGGCACAGAGAGAAAAAAACGATCTCTAAGAATGAAAGAATATTGAGAGAACTGGGTGACCAATACAAACGGAACAATATTTGCATTATAGGGACACCAGAAGAAGAGGAGAAAGAGAAAAGGATAGAAAGTGTCTTTGAGGAGGTAGTTGCTGAAAACTTCCCCTGTCTGGAGGAGATAGTCTCTGAGGCCATGGAGATCCACAGATCTCCCAACACAAGGGACCCAAGGAAGATAACACCAAGACATATAGTAATAAAATTGGCAAAGATCAAGGATAAGGACAGACTATTAAAAACAGTTAGAGAAAGAAATAAGATCACATACAAAGGAAAGCCCATCAGGCTAACGTCAGACTTCTCAGCAGAAACCTTACAGGCCAGAAAGGAGTGGCATGGTGTATTTAATGCAATGAAGCAGAAGGACCTGGAACCAAGATTACTTTATCTGGCAAGATTATCATTTAAATTTGAAGGAGGGATTAAACAATTTCCAGATAAGCAAAAGCTGAGAGAATTACCTCCCACCATTTCTACAGTCTATTTTGGAGGGACTGCTACAGATGGAAGTGTTCCTAAGGTTTAATAGCTGTCGCCAGAGGAAATAAAACCATAGTAAAGAAAGTAGAACAGCTAATTACTAAGCAAATGCAAAATTAAATCAACTATCCCCAAAGTCAATCAAGGGATAGACAAAGAATACAGAATATGATACCTAATATATAAAGAATGGAGGAGGAAGAAAAAGGAGGAGAAAAAGAAAAGAACCTTTATATTGTGTTTGTAACAGCATATT